GGCTGGTTGCGGATGCTGTGTCATCATGTAATCAAGCACGGCTTTGCTCAGCTTGTGTCTATCTACTGCACGGCACTGTTACTTTAGCTAAACTATTACGACGTTACGACTTGTGATTCATAGAAACCCATTTTTAGCCCTTTGTGTTATTTCTCAGCTTGCCATATTCTCTTTTCTACACCTCACTTCACTGTCCAGCTTAGCGACTTTTATGGTTTCATTTGTTCTTTTTCTTTTTACCCGGCGTCACATGAAGGCGAAAAATGGCGACGATATTCAACGAGGAGCTTATGTTTGCTTCTCCCCCTTGTACTCGATGAATTATCGAATACGATATATACTTGGAGGCCAGGAAATCGATGACACGACGTTTGGACATTTTTGTCCGACTTTGGTACCCTGCCTACGTTTCATTGTCTACGCCTTTAATTCTACTACCCCGACTTCTCTCAATGACTCGACACTACGATCTTGGCTTGATATGAGTGGCAACATTTCAACCCACATTGCGGCATAACCGTTGTGTAGGGCGGTTGGAGGACTTTTTGTTTCTTTTTCTGTTGAGCATTTGTTGCGTGCTAACAATCTGCAATGGGTAAAACGCATGGAGTGCGTCGAACAAATTGGGTGGAGGAGCTTTTCGGATTCTTGAGTGTATAGATACCCCCTCTCAGAGGATGGACTTTTTCAACCCATGGTGGAGCAAGTAGACATTGATAAAGACTATTTTGAAAATTCACCGAGCATGCGAAGCGGATGCTGCACCGTGACGAGGCTTGAGGGTGCGGACGTGTAGAATCAACGACTGGATTGTTGGCACTGGGCGCATCATCGATGACGGGGCGGCGCGTGGAGCCGTGCCGAGTTGCCGTCCAGCTCCATGTCGTCGTCGATGTATGAGCGGCATCACCGGCGTCATCGACCGGCGGTTAGGGAGCCGCACTCATATAAAGTTTGGGTGCAACAATGCAGCCTTACCGACACTTGATGCACCAGTCTGATCTGGCAACAAACACCAATTGAGGATACTCGACCGCGAATCAAGGAGTTCAAAATGGTTCATCAGCACGGCGATCATCATGACATCCCCTCCGAGTATCGCATCCACAGGTACGTCCGCTACACCAAACCACTCCCACCCTTTTCTCGCAATCCATCATCTCAACACAAGACGTTATATCGTGTATCTAACTTGTCTACGCAGGCCGGGGGCATGGCTCCCCGCCGACCACCGCGTCCATCGCCAATACCTCTCCAACGTCACCCGCCACATTGACTCGCACCCCAAGCAGCCGCTCACACCGGCCCTCGAGGAATTCAGGCAGCTCATCGAAGGCAACTCGCGCATATACATGTACTTTGTGCAAATGTTTGACGAAATCCCCCGCAGGCATCCCTACTGGCGGGACCCCACGGGCGGCAAGCAGATTCGCGATTACGAGCACATGCTGCAGGTGCTAAACCACATCGTGACGCGAGCGCCGGAGTGGACAGAGGCCGCGGAGAGCGTGGGCGTGGTAGGAGTGCCCATGTGCTCGCTGCTAGACTACCAAATGGGAACGCCTAGGTAAGCTTGATTTTCGCGAGACTTGGTTTGGACGGTCTCTCTGTCATGATAACATGGCTGCTGACGGGGGTGTTGGGGAGCCAGTGGGCATGCGGCGTTTCTAGATCCAGACGTGAACAAGGCGTTGAAGGAGGTGCTCAACGAGTGGGGGAAGTACTTGCAGGTATGTCAGGCAACATTGAACGAATGCCGTGTTCGTCGGGCCTGCGAGCTGATATCAGCCTGTAGACGCCCGAGTCGGCAGAGGTCCTGGGGGACCATAGCCTAGGCTGGTTCGGACAGACGGGCATGAGTGATCTTGTCCAGGTCGCCAACATGCCGTACCAGTCGAGCATGAAGTTCGAGGACATGTTTGTCTGCGATCCTTCCGCAAAACACATGGGTTTCAAGTCCTGGGACGGTATGGCACCCCCCCCCCCCCCCACCCCTTCCCCCCCCCCCCCCCCCTTTTTCACACACAAGGAATCACCCCTGATTCTCCAGCACAAAGCACCGCGCCATGTATAAGATGTCTGCTGACTCCCGATAAGACTTCTTCACGCGGCGAGTGCACGACGCGGCGCGCCCCGTCGCCGATCCCGACGACGACTCCGTCATTGCCAACGCGTGCGAGTCGTCGGTGTTCAACGTGGCGCACGACGTCGGGCTCCGCGACAAGTTCTTCGCCAAGGGCCAGCCGTACTCGCTCGTCGACATGTTTGCCCACGACGCGCTCGCGCACGAGTTTGTCGGCGGCACCATCTACCAGGCGTTCCTGTCGGCGCTCTCCTACCACCGCTGGCACTCGCCCGTCTCGGGCACGGTGCGGCGCGCCTTTGTCCAGGACGGCACGTACTTTAGCGAGCCGCTCTCGGAGGACGAGGGCGACCCGCGGGTCGAGATTGACACGCGCGGCATCTCCGTGGCGCAGGGGTACCTGTCCGCGCTGGCGGCGAGGGCCATCATCGTGCTGGAGGCGGACAACCCCAAAATTGGCCTGCTGGGCTTCATCGGCATCGGCATGGACGAGGTCAGCACGTGCGACATCACGGTCAAGGAGGGCCAGCGCCTGAAAAAGGGCGACCAGCTGGGCATGTTTCACTTTGGGGGGTCGAGCCACTGCTTGGTATTCCAAAGGGGCGTCAGGGTCGACGGGTTTCCGCCCGTGGGGAGGCAGGAGAATGTCCCCGTGAGGGGGAAGCTGGCCGTTGTTCATTAGGAGTGTGTGTGTTTTATTGTGCGCGCGCGGCGCACTCTGACGAGGGCTGCGTTTGTATATATGTACATCTGCCGTGGTTCAAGAATCATGCAGGTCGCTTGTCCTGTAAGCTCGCCAGCTTGTTTGGCCAACATGGTCATCATTTCTGCGCGTCGGCCTTCATGCCGCCCTGCACCCAGTTCCTGGCCCCCTCGGCCTTTGCGTCGAGCTCCTCCTCCGTCAGGCCGTCGTTGTCAAAGGCGGTATGCGGGTTCGGCACGTGGCGGCCCCTTTCGAAGCCAGGCCGCCGCAGCAGCGTCTTGAGCCACTTGTCGAGATGGGGGAACTCGTCGAGCGAGACGCCCGCCCAGGCTTGGTCGAGGGCGGTTAGCAGTGAGCCATACGTCGCGACCGGTGGGAAGAAACCTTACTGTGCGAAGCGACCCATCCCCAGCATGAAATATCGGCGACGGTGACGCGGTCGCCGACGAGGAACCCGTGCGGCGACTTGGCGAGGTGGTCCTCCATGGTGCGGTAGAGGCGGCGCGTCTCGTTGCCGTAGCGGTTGATTCCGTATTCGATCTTCTCGGGGGCGTATCCTGCGGCTGGGTTAGCAAGCACTTGAGATAGATTGCTGGGCCTGGCGCCCCGGCGGGCAACATTGACGACGACGACGTACGCTTGAAGTGGTTGGACTGGCCTTGCATCGGACCCAGGCCGCCCATCTGCCACATGAGCTGTTCAAACATAATATTTCAATGTTAGCAGCCGTTTCCCTCGGGACGTCTGGTGTATAATACGGGGAGGCTGCTGACCCAGCTTGTCACCTCCCAGTGCTCCGCTGTGCCCCGGGGATACGAAATCTTGTGGTCCTTGTCGTACCGGTCCACGAGATACTCGAGGATGGCGCCGCTCTCAAACACGCGGATCTTGTTGCCGTCCAGCGTGTCCGTCAGGGCGGGGATGCGCCCGTTGGGGTTGATGTCGAGGAACCACGGCTCCTTTTGCTCGTTTTCCATCATTTTAATCGCGTGCACCTGCCGCTGTGAGCCGCTGTCCTCCTTGTCTGCGCTTTTGTCCCGCGGAGACGGTTGGCTTACTTTGTACTGGAGCCCGAGCTCCTCGAGCGCAATCGACGCCTTGATGCCATTGGGCGTCGAAGCTGTGTAGAGCACAATGTCGGTCTTGGTGGCCATGTTTGTGAGTTGCGAAGCTGGTTGGTGAGGGATGGGCTGCTCATGAGGAACCGCGACGGGGGAGGATGTATTATGTGTTATATATTGGGGACTCCATCAAGACTAGTACTATCTAACTTCGATTAGCATGGCACTTTGAGCGGGCGCTTGGTAATGTTCTTTGAGCGGGCGTAGATGATCTGCTTAGAAATCGCGCCGGGATGGCCATCACGTCACGACTCGTCCCCGCCAATGGGGGCTTCATGGGCAAGGGCGCCCCTCATTGTATCGACGGAGCTGGGCTTCGGGAAAGGCGGAGCACACCGGACGGGCTTGGTGATGTTGGGGAGTTGGGGGCGTGTTCCGTGGCGTGGGAGTTTTGCGGAGTTGGATCGGGGTCTGATTGAGCCGAGCTGGCTGGACGCCTCTTGGGTGGGCCAGGGGTTGCGGGATAGTTGGAGTTATTGGGGCATAACGGGTGGCTTTTTTGTGAGATGCCAATGGTATAGTTGGGCAAGGTGTGGTTGGGTTTGCGTGAACTTGAATACGGGAGAGACGAGGCCGGATTGCACGATCCATCTCTGCACTTCCCAGGGCGAAACCTATGCATTTCAAGATAGGTCGAATGCCAGAGCTCAACTCACCACGCACGGCTGCCTCCTGTACCGCCTCTGATCTTCCTGCCTTATTACGGAGTACATGTACACCATATGCGAGATGTTATTATTACACATTGTCACTATAGCGTAGAATCTAGTCAACTAGGATGCTTGCAATGTGTCACTATATTGGAATGCTTGCTGAAACTTTGGAACCTTCGGGGCACCTTTGGCACTGGAGTGATACCGTGCAAGTATAAGTGACAATTTGGAAACGTCTGGTGCTACATATTGACTTTATGTAAGCACCTTCGTTACGGTTCCAGCACGATGCAATGTACAAGCCTTTCATCCACTTAGCCTAGTTACCGCAAATGCCAAGGGCTTGGTTGGCCGCAATTTGAACGCCACAACCGTCTCTTTGACAACTTCATGAGTTGAAAGCCTCCATTATACTCTATGAGCTTGAGTGATCCTCCCAACTAGGGCAAACTAAGTCGATGTTGATCTGAATTGTTGGAGCTCAGAGTTGAGAGAGTATTTGAAAGCCTGGCGCTATGAGACGTTGGAGATGATGGAAAGGATTGCATTAAGACCTCAACTGGGGCCTTGCCCATATCGCAAGGGCTTTGGTCGGGGTTTGGCACTTTAGTAGGAATTTCCTCCGCAGATGCATCTGCAATCATTTGAAAGCTGGAAGGATTAAAAGCGCCAGCTGGAGGGACAATTTGGATCCAATTCTGCACATTCAAAGGCCTTTCCGCTGGCAGAGGGGGACAGATGTGAGAGGGAATTGGAGAGACGTGTGCTTGCAGTCTCGGCCCCCAGGATACAGTTTCGGTTTTGCAAGATTTGGCTTTGCCAAAGGCTGAGGGGTCCCCAAAGACTAGAGCACCCATACAGGCGGACCGGAGAGTGTCGAAATTGTTAAACTTTTTGGGATTCCCGACCATCTTCTGAACAAAGTTGCAACCCTTTTTGTCACAGCCGTAGAATTGTTTGCTTGGACCGCTCCAGCCCATTCGCTCTGTTAGCATGAACTTCTGCCCCGAGTTGTAGCATCCCTTACTCTCGGCCAACCCTATAATGCACTGCGTGCTTGCAATTAGAAAATTTTGATTCATCGGTGGCTGTTTCCATAGGCGACAAGCCGTTGTCCCGTTTGCGGGTAATACGAGATCCTTGAGCTCCTTCGAAAATAGGACCAAATATTCCGGATTGGCACCTAGTTCGCACAGAGGTTGGCGCAGTTTCTGCCAGGGACGAGGCCCCCGAAACTTTCTGTTAATGTACTGTTCTTTTCGATAGCAAGTCGCCTTTTCTTCAGCGATCTCAGAAGCCTCCCATCCATAGAGTCTGTTCTTTTTCGGAAAGATCAACAGTTGCTGGCAGCGATCTTCCAGCTTTTCCCTTCTAGCCCTGAAACAATCCAGTATGTACTCAATCACATCAAGGAAGCTTACGCGCTTTGTGTGATCTCTGTCATCCACCCACAGCCCTACCGCCTTGTGCTGGCGCAGGACTGCTAGAGTTGCGTTGTGACCGTCGCTATCCAAATTCGCGTCCATAGATTCCAGGACTTCTTGTATTTTTTGCTCGTCTTCCGGATCCTGCAATCCGAGCTCAAGTCGGTTACGAATAAGCGAATGGGCAAGCCACAAGGCCGCAGATAACTCCGGAACGAGCCAGCCCACTCGACGCTGGGTGTCATAAATGAGGACGACGGTGGTCTTCGCTGCGTTTAGCTTCGCATCTCTCCCACGTGAATTCTGACTTTGTGTTTGCCTTAACCCTTTGCTAATCTGGACGCCGCCGCTGATCCCAGCGGTAGCCGTCACTGGCATAGGAATCAAGCTTCCAGCCCCGACACTAACACTTAGGGATGCTTGGATTCCCTCGTCTTTCACGCGAAGGGTTCTGCCTTCCTCTCTGGCGCCAGAGTTTTTGATCTTGTCGCAGCTGATAAATGCGGTCCCCACCAGCACCACGGCGTTTGTACAGAATCCTAAAAAAGCCTTCATGGAGGAGAGGCGCCAGGGCAGCTCTACCTTAGGAATCTTGTGGAACTGGACAAGCCAAGCAAGACTTTGCTTTTCTTCCTGCGGAACTAGATGCCATTCGATGAAATCAGATCCAAGTTTAGTAGGGTATATGACAAACCTTGGGCCCAGTAGGATAGTCCTCGACTTGAATTCGCTAGTTCCTTTTGCTCCCGAGAGACTCCTCATTTCATGGTAGGAAAGTTCCAGGCCCTTTTGATTCCCGCGCTTCGGCACTGGAAATCCATACGCAAGTACCGAATTCTGGAATAATGGGTGCCAACATTTGCCGATTGGGTCTGCCGTAGCGCTCGGCTCTTTGTCAACAAGCTTCTGTGGTTTGATAGAAAGATAAATTACACCATTTTCAATGCCATTTGTGTGCATTCTTAGGATGGAGTACCCCAGGCAGTTCTCAAGTGGTGGACGAAAAGCTGCAGAAAACCAGGCTACCTGCTGAGCAATCTCCATCACCTGGGTCTTGGTCCTGCTGGCCTTTACCACGGCCTTTTCAGAACTGGAATCCTGCATGTTCCTTGGGTAGATTGTTACATCAATTAGAAATGCGCCACTCCATGCGAGCCGTGACGGAGATTCCTGGCAGGTTCGTGACAGAAATAGGGCCGAGTTCAAGACATGCAGTGTCCTGGGCCCCGTCACTGGCCAGGTCAACATTATATACTCGCCAGCTTGCTTTGCCACAGCCTGGGATGAGGTCCCGGACAGCGTGAGGAGTCTAGAAAGATCCTGGCCTTCAGGCATTTCCTCATCCATAAATTGCAGGACTTCCCATTGCGTCTCAATCTCGATAACACAATCGTCTGCTTTATGCCCTTCAAAAACTTTCAAGAAGTCCGAGATGTGGCCGCATGGGTCATTAGCTATTCCCATGTCTTCTTGGCCTGGCCAGCTCTGTCCTTCAGCTTTAGTAGTTCTGCGGATGAGAGCTTCGACAACGTCCGCGTGGCCAGCAGCAGTAGCTGCTACCAAAGCAGTCTGGCCAACTGTGTCTCTAATGGATGCATCTGTCCTATTTTCTAGGAGAAGGACAACGAGTTCTTTATGGCCATTCGCAGCTGCTTCATGTAAGGCTGAACACCCTTCGTTGTCGGCTATCATTATATTCGCACCATGGTTTAGCAGATAATGGGCTATCGAAAGGTTACCAGCGCGGCTGGCCTCATGAAGAGGAGTTGAATGATATTTATTTGTACCGTCCACATCAGCGCCGAACTGGACAAGAAGTTGGGCTATTTCAAGGCGCCCTTCTCTTGCAGCAACATGCAACGCTGTATCTCCGCTCCCGTCACGAGCCATGACGTTGACTCCGGCCATCAATAGAATATCAACAGCTGCGGCACTCCCCCCCAAAGTCGCAAAATGGAGCAAGGAATTCCCTTGATTATCCAAAGTATCGAACAGCGGGACCTTCTCTAAAAGAAGTCGAAGAGTCATCACATGTCCAAAATAAGCAGCATAGGCTGCTGGACTGCGACCTCTGCTGTCCCTAGAGTCCACGACTGCTGTTTTTCTTGTCTCAAGGAGCTCCGCCGCCAAGCCGGTCAAATCCAGGTAGGCAGCCATATGCATGGCGGTGAAAGAATCGGCTGAGGCAGTGGGAAAATGTGACTTTCCCACTTTTCGCGATACACGATTGCGGTCATAAAAGACGTACCAGCTTGATCGCTGCAGCGAGTAGGCATTATAGAACGTGCTTTTCTTCCTCTTAGCCGGCGCCAGGTGTTGAACACTTCGCTCATGATCCGGCCAGAAGAGAAATGCGTATTCGAGAAGCGGATAGAAGTCAAATTCTATTAATCCTAGACCACTGTCTTCTAGGAAAGAACTATCACTTGCCCATTCTTCGTCGGTGAGGCAGTCGAGACACCTTTCTGCAATGGAAAGCTCGGCATGTTCGGGTTCGATGCGGAACGGCTCTCTTGCGTGGCCCAGTAGATAGTCTATAACTGTTGCATGAGATAGAATGACTGTGCCGTCCCTTATGAAACATAGAGCTGCACAATTTTGAAGAATACGCTGGATTCTGTCTTCGTCAGCTCTATCACGCCGGTTATTCCCAGTTCGAGTGGCTGCTGATAGTTCTGGTAGTGATAACGGTCGTCTGGCCATGACCACCCACTTCAAAAGGTTCGCCAGGTGGTCAACATCCTGCAGATCAACTTTTTCAACTGCGGATTCATAAGTATCCATAATATTCCTAGGTGAGCGACCGACTATTTCAAGAGCCTGTGCTCTTTGTTTGTACTTGAGTTGTCCCAGTAGGAAACGGGCAAACAAGAAGTTGCCCATTGAGCGTTCAACAATATGTGCTTTCAAGTCAACTTTGAAAGCAGAGTCAAGTGCTTCATATTCCTCCTTTTCCAACTCGCTATACACAAATTTCGCAACGTCAATCTCTCCATGGTATCTGTCAAACCGAAGCGTGAATGTATCCAGAGCTTGGCCCTCTGAAGACGGAAACAACTGGTTGAAGCAGCCTTCTCTGCTAGTCAAGAGGAATCGAAGGAACGAAGTACTTAGCCTCATTTTATCACCAAGACTTGTTATGTATCTCAAAACAGGCAGCGTTATTAAGGGGTCGGATTCGTCTACCCCATCAATAACAAGAGTGACTCCCTGTATAGAATTGGCTTTCAGAGTATTAGTGATTGCTGACTGAAACATATCTAACAGGTTTTGAGTAGTCAACTGTCTCGTCGTGAGGGTACCCAAGTATTCCAAGGCGTCTGGGTACTGAAGGACTAGCTGATATAAAAGTCCTGCAACGATCAGCCTTACTCCGTCTTCGGGACTATGGAATATACTGCAGAAGAAACATAACATCACGTGTTGGAGCTGATTTTCAGTGCTATCCTTTAGGGGGGAACATAACAGCTCCGTATTCTGTGAAATATGAAGACAGAACTGTGTTTTGCCCACTCCTGGTGGTCCATAGAGCCAGAATAGCGACTCCTGACGTGAGAGCCAGGACAAATATTCATGGCTCTGGAATATCCACTTTGGGACTGAGTTAGGTGGAATGATAGTATGTGGCTTAGCCCCATACGGACGTTCAAAGAGGCTGCCCACGAATAAGTGTAGTGGTGGTTGAAACAATCTTGTGTTTTTCTCCCCTTGCTTCATGGCAATAGCGGTACGCGTGAGATTTGGCTCGGATATGTTCTCACAGCATCTGTGGAACTCGACTGAAGTTTTGCCAGCTTCTAGATAAGCTGCTGTTGCCGATCGGGCGTGGGATAGTAGCGGTGCATCATCTAAACTGACTGTATCCAAAGGAAGGTCCGCATTGAATCGAAAGTATCGACCAGAACTCGCCATAGGTATATGTGTTCGACGAAACTCCTCTGAAATACTTTCTGACGCCGCGGCAAGTGTCTGCAATTGTCTAACCGGCTTCCGGGAGCCCAGGTCTAAGGATGGAGGCGGAGCAGTACCGGTTCCAATGCTGACAATTATCGCGTCGACAGCACGATCGGGCCACAGTTTCCAGGCCTCCTCGAAAAGCGTGAATACCGGGTTATTAGAGGAGGGATACTTGTATTTCATGTCTCCAAATGTCAAGGGAGGGAGTGCGATGGAAGCACGCGCGGCTTCCCAAACGCGAATATTTGATGTCAAAGGCTCAGTGTCAAGGCTCGTATAAGATCTGAGCAGAACATTATTTTTTTGGCTTCTTGCAAAACTTTGAGATACAGTGGAGGCAGGTACAATAGTAAATCTAGACCGAAAGTAAGCTGAATAATCTAGTTGCAGTGGGATGGTATTAAGAAACACATGACGTACACTCTACCCGGCTGCTTGTCGTTTAAGAGCAGATCTAGGGATTGAACCGATAGGTTTTTCAACCATTTTTCGATGTCAACTACCTTGAATTTCTGCTCTTTTCTGGTGATTACTTTCCAGGTGTTTAGAAAAATGCCCCTTTTTGGCGCTGCAGAAAGGATTTGTGATAGGTTTGAGTATCCGGAGATGCACTGCTGAACACTCATACGTAGGCGGCCAAGCATAATAGCCAGCAAACCGCCAACGCCACTGCCGCCAATTAGGTCGAAAACTTGCCAAGGCTCGATTTTCTCCCTAAGGTTCAGGGCATTGTTGATATTGTCCATTAAGCGCTCCAATATAAGGAGCGACGACAGTATCCCAGCGCCCCCTCCATCCAGGGAGAGGAACCGCAGTACTGGAGCTTGGCCTGACATTATGAGAGAAAAAGTGACGAAATCGTGTGTGTAAAAGCAATACAAGTCGCATCGGAGTGGGCTCCCTGGAGAGACATTGATCGCAGAGAGAAAGACTGGGGAAGTTGCCTAGGGCCATCGGTTCGCCTTTGACCTAAATACCCATTATTGAGGGGCGTCGCTGCGGCTGGGAGAAATGATTCATTCAGAACATGCTTTGTGGATTCAAAAGGTTCTAGCCATTTCAATGCCATGGCCGGGAGCTGAGGGTAGCTGAATACTTAATGTTACACACCTATAAGTAGGTATTTATGTGTGTTGGGGCACTTTCAACAGTACGACTGAGGGGCTGGGAGGAAGTCAATATTCAATGTTCCTAATTTTGGTATCATTAGCTTACTGCATGTGGTCTAAAATAGGAATGGTAGTGGGATAATTAGTTCGCGGAGCTGGGCTGGCAGCACAATAAGGGGGGTGGTCTGGTACAACGTTGTCACTTCGAAAACATGGAAGTCGTGCTATGTCGACATGTTCACCGTCTGTCTTTCGGGCGTAGTGTGGCTGAATGTGGAGGCCTAGGCTTTAGCACTTGCGTATGTGGCATGCACCACGTGCAAATACAGTGGGAGGCAAACGGCATGTAGCTATTAGCCAGGTATAGTACTATTCATACCAGACATCACACAGTATATAACTACCTAGGTATGCAGTTATACCCACGCAACATTAGAACTATCCTGCCACAAACCGTAAATGGTACCAAAGGACTGATGGCATTGAAGAGAGGCAGTCATGAGTGTAGAGGATGCAGCAATGGAAACCGCAGAAATCAGACTAATTATAGATAGTTGTCTTGAGGCCAGGTACATAGGAATCATTGGACGAAGCGGGGGGTTGACGCTTGAAGATCACAGCTCTGCGCATTTCTTCCCTGCAAGAGTTACATGGTGTCTTTGATACCCTATAGTTTACAAACATTCACCATATTAGCGCTATTTTTGCTATGTAGAACGCTAGAGTCTTACTATGAATAGGAATAATGCAGAAGTGGCCAAATTAATGCTGGTGTTATACTGCACTGACCCTTCAAGGGGCTTGTCTCGTTTGCTCTCTTGGAAGGGCCACGCTGAAGATGTCAAGGCGAATAGTACCTCCCGTTTCTTAGATGACAGATCAGGCTGTGTCAAAGCGGTGTTTTCCCGTGGGCACAACCCTTTAATTTCCTTCACCACTCTAAGGTACTTTGTATTTGGTCTTACGTGGTCTCTTGGCGTGTGTAACGTGGTCGGGCTATGGTCACAGGATTCTTAGAATTGGAGGTTATCCAAGAGTGTCCAAAGCGTCCATGTCTCAACCAGAAGGGCTAGGGGATCTGATGGGGCATCACGCACAATTCCCAGGGTGTGAACTGCAAACTTCAAAGGTGCACGAGTCTGTCGGCTTGAATGAACGCAAGGTTTTTTTCGCACCGATAGCCCCGGCTTCCGTTTCGCGTGGGATCTGATGAATGTGTAAATAAGAAGACTTTGGTTAGGTGATAACAAAAAAGACTGATATTTCGGAGGATGTGTTATTTATTCTGATGAGTCGCACTCTGTGCTTAGTACCAGAGAGGAAAATATTGCCGCCCTGCAACCAATCGCCCAACTATCGTTAGCAACACATAAAGTATGCCTCATATCATGCCTCGCTGAGCCCTGGAAATGCAGTCACCTTAACTCCCGAATATTGATCACGGGGAACATGCTGCACTACTATGAATCCATGTATCGAGAACGAATTGGAAGACTGACGGGGTTTTGATCAAGAGTGGACGAGGAGACCTCATGCTTGCCGCCGATTGGTTGGTACGATTGGTTCTGTTGATAGGACCAAAGCTTTCGTAATTCCCCTGCGTTGAATCTCTACTTGCAAACTCTGAAGACCGTTCATGGATTGGACATAGTTGTAGGTGAATTAACCTCTGCAGGTGACGAACTGTCATTAATCAATTTGGTGGCTCTTGGCACATGGAAAAGCAAACTGACCCCATCGGCTATGAGAAATCTTTACCTTGGTAGTTATTCTGTATCCCTCTAGATGTGACGTCGAGTTCCTTCTTTTCATCTCCATGCCTTCTACTGTCTTGTGTCCACGGAACTCGGCTTTTTAAGCTGAACTCTCAGTTAAATCCTCTGGCGATTTGATCGCACGCATCTACGTCATTTCTCCACGAGTTTGGGGTCCAATGCACCAAAGTTAAGGAATACCAGAGTCTTGATGTGACTTGCCGTGCTGCCAAGAGTCGACTACCGCGGGTCTCATGTTGAATCGGCGACAGGTCGTCACTTGATCAATTATGAGGACGGCAACCAAGACACACCCCAAGATTCATGGTGCTCACCGCCTGGACTCGCCTGGACCCAAACCATCACGACGGATACCTGTGTAATGTTTTTGACTACACCATAAACTCGCGTTGGTGGCATCGTCCGGCGTCGAAGATGGTGCTTGGAAGTGTCTCTTGTGCGTGTTTCAACGGCCCGCCTGGGACCGGGGATCGTGGGCTTATATCGTGGGCTTTTATCGTGGTCTCTTGATTTGCGTTTAGCTGCCCAAAGCATTGATTGAGGCGGTAACTGTATGTATGCAGGCCACGACCATCGTCGAGTCAGATTCGGGGTTGCCATTCGTCGATGTATTGAGATGATTGCAGAGGGTGAGGGCGCCATGTCCAGGATGGAAGGAGCTGCTCGGGTTCTTCCCATTCAAAGTTTACCCCAATGCCAAACCCCTCGCGGGATGTTCCATGCAGAACCACCAGTCGGCCATCATGACATGTGCCAAGTGCAGGAATACGCATCCCATGTCCAATCCATTAAATGAATTACTTGTCAGCTACTGCTGTGGCTGATAGCTGTGTTGTCTCAGTCCATTCATTGATCGTGCCAGGGCAGAATGTTGAGGCTCACCATCCATCATGTGCCCCAGAGCGATCATTGAGGCCCCGGGAGGGACCCACTTGAGCTGAGCGCCACCAGAGCGCTGCCAGTCCTGGACTCCTGGGCATCTTGCGTCCATGGAAACCGCCGCCTCTCGTCAGTGCGCCGAAATGGCCACCCAACAGAGTCATCAATGCCAGTTGCTGACCTACCCGAGGTGGCGGGTTTCAACCTACAGGTGTAGATGATGCCCTGTTTTTGATGGGAAGCCGAGAAAGATCTCAGAAGACATTGATGCCGGATCATGAACACTTCACAGCAGAACCACGGCTTGGCATAATCCAACACCATGAATGAGACGCCAAAGCCAAAGCAAGCAGCGTGCCTGGTTTGCCGTCGCAGCAAGATCAAATGCGACGGGGCTGCCCCCAGTGGACGCTGCAAGAGATGTGTCCAACTGGGAACAGAATGTATTCGCCCTGATTTCCACGCTGGTCGCCAAAAGGGCATCAAAAAGTATAGAGACGGTCCTTTCCTACATCCCTCCCATGACCTTGGCTAACATGTTTGCTTTCGTGTTTCGATCCGCAGCAAGAGAGTCGGTCTTGAAAAGGCATTATTCCAAGTCGAACAGGCAGTCAAACGAGCAAGAACTGGGCAGCAGCAAAGTCCTGAGGATGACAAAGTCTTGACGCAAATGAGGGCCCTCATGGGCCATCTCGATGGCAATGAGTGGTCGCCCAGTCAAGCGTCCAACCATCAAGCGAGTGGAGAAGCTGAGGATTCATCTAGCGAATATGAAGAGGACATGGCCGACCAGACTTCCATGTCCGAGGACATTGTCCAGCGGACAGAGGAGACTCTGGCTGTGGACGACGCTGAAAATCCTCTGCAACTGCTGGCTCGCGCATCCTACTTTCAGCCTTCTCGAGAGGTTCGGAGTCGCAGCTCGCCACAGCATTCGCGAAGGAAAGGCGCAACTTCAGGCAAAAGTCCTGAGGCAGCGAGTCTCGAGGCCTTTTTTTCTGGGGCCAAGGTGAACCTGGATGTTGGCAACGACATCGATCCGATTGAGCTGGGTTTGGTGACCGAGGAAGAGGCCGATTCTCTGTTTGCATAGTAAGTCTGTCTCTGCTCTCCGTGATTGTATCGAGAGAGTGCTAAACCAGATAGCTTTCACGCAAATCTCTCCCACACTCGGTGGGGGTTTGATCCTAGACTATACACCATGACTTACACCCGGTCAAGATCCGCATTTCTCTGCACATCCATTCTTGCAGCGTCAGCGTTGTTTATACCCACAGCCTCTGCATTATCAAAACGTCTGTCGAATCATGTCACTACTTTGGCACACAGAGTCATGTTGCGAAGACATAAATCCATCGAAATTGTGCTAGCATTCATGGTCAATATCCCTTGGATGTTTCCAGGGCAGCATAGCACTGATGACGAGGCTTGTGTCTACATATCCATGGCGACCAGCGTTGCCATAGACCTTTCCCTACACAAAGTTATAGTTCCTACGGATGTCTTACAAGAGGGCTCAAAACTGGCTCTCTCACGAGGTGAATGCTTGGATACCCGTACAGCATTGGCAATGGATGGATATCCAGATCTTGATCCATGGACCGACAAAGCAAAGCTTCTACTGCGAAACAGGGAGCGCTGTTGGATATCTCTATTTGTTCTCGAACGAGGGTGGGTATTATATGGCACACCGTGGGGGGTTCTGCGCTAATGATGTGTGTAGAATGTCACTGGCTCGTGGCCGTCCGTTTGTGGTGCCTGTAACCAAACTGATCAAAGATTGTGACAGTTGGTATCGATCAGCAGTTGGAGACCCTCAAGATGGCCATTTGGTGTCAATGGCTGTGCTTCGGCGCGACTTGGTATGTTCCAAGTCCACAAGACTCATGTATTGTGTATCGCTTATACTTATTGCACCAGGATGGCCTCTTTGCCACAGTTCGCTCTCTCTGTGATGGGTCGCAGAATCCAGTCAGTGACGGATCTTTGATTGCTCAATCGTATGTAACTCTATTACTATCGTCATGCTCTATCTATTAACAGCCCGCAGAATCCAAAGTTCAATAGAGCGTTTCTTTGATCAGTGGTACACCGAATGGGGTGTATCAATTGGCACTGGACCCCGTGAGTAACGTATTTTGCGGCAATAAGGTGGTTATTGAGGCTAAATCATTCTCAGAGCGTCGATTACCACCATACGTCGATATCCTTGTAACACATACTCGACTGTCTACTTACGGCGGTGTTATCAACCACCCCACAGCTCCCATCGAAGTGAGGCAATTCTTCCGTACGGCGGGCCTCTCATCAGCTTTAAATGTCATGAGAGCGGCCATTCAGGGTGAAGGCCAGCTACACTCCATGCCCAATAACACAGCAATTATGATTTCTTTTGCTGCTTGTTTTGCATTAACCCTCAGCGCTTATACTTCTGGGGGCTCTACTTTAGTACCGAGCATTCGAAAACTCATTGATGAGGCCGCGGGCGTTCTGGAGAGAATAGGAGCCATTACACAACACAGAAACGGACTGTCGACGTTATACGGAAGATATCTGAGACAGATTGTGCGCAAAGCGGCGAAACAAAACGTGGCCTATCCATCCGCACCACCACAAAATACGAGTAACCCGGGAGCACCCCAAATACAACCCATTGGCGCCCCAGTTGCTACATCGAACAGCAATAGTTTCTTGACCCAGCAGTTAACATGGCCTGAGCCTCTCCAGTTCTCTGCAATGTCAGATGATCAAATTACACATGTGCTCAACCAACCGGGCAACGAGTTCGAGGCTTCATTTGGTGGGCTTTCTTGGGAGGATATGAGCAATTTCGACTGGCTGCACTGGCCAGAATTCGTGGGATAGGCAGCTCAGAGACATATCATTTCACCTCTGTAACAGTTATTATCATGACTAATAGTTACATCTTGGCAGTATCCCGCTGCTGCTGTGAGACAGTCAACTGTGAGAGTCGCCTCAGCTGCTCCATGAAGACGAATGTCAGAACAGTATGTGGTCTGCATTTCATGTTAGGCAAGCGGGCAATTGACGGTCATGGAGGTGACATACGTTAGTCTCAGCCAGGCTGGTGTCCAGCCCTTCATTAAGAAGCGCGGCCCTTCATCCCGTAACCCATTTCTAACGATTTGCAACAGGCCCTGCGAATTGTTAGTCAACATATCACGAACCGTGACAGAACAACAATGAACTTGCATCTCCCTTGGCACTCGACTGCATCCGGCTCTTTAAAACGTCTGCAGGAGCACAGAGTGTTGTGGCTACTGTTCCTGCCATTAACGAAGCGAGGGCGTGGGTGGTGATATTATCGGACATGTTATTCGATGCCAGCAGAGACTGCTTTGCGGACGCATAGCTGTTGGGAAATGTTAGCCCTGCGTGGCCCCGCCGAGCCCGTTCCGTAATGACCTACGATGCGATCTGTGACACATCTTCAAGGATAAAAACGACATTTAGCACCAGACTAAACAGTACCGGGACAACAGGTTTGGCAAAACGTACTCATGAGAACACTTCTCGTGACATTCGGTCCAATCCCACGACCAAACGCCTTCGCCCCCTCTTCTTTCCAAACCCGCCACAAACCAACTAACGGATTCGAGTATCGGAACCTATCACTTGCAGGCTTTGCTCCATCGGCGCACATACGGACAAGAACAACCTCAGTAGGATTGCCAATCAGCCCGGCAATTCCACCGGAAACCCCCGCGCAAGCAATATTCCATGATGTCGGAAGCCTATCTCTACCGGACGTCTGGAGCAACTGTGAGGAAAGATGATTGTGCAAGCCAAATCGGGCAGTTGAGTATGTGCCTTGTCGCAGAATAGACGCCGATAGGCCGCCCCATAATGAGGGAATACCTGGGGAATACGTCGGGGTAAGTTGAGGCCCGATTCTCAGAGTTTGGGGTGGCGTACCGTCTCGGAGCCCAAATCTGTACATTGTGCTCAACATGGAGTTGCTGGACTTGAGGACCTGCATGCGACTAGAGATGGGAATCAGCCACCCATGCGCATTTAGCCGTTTGGTCCCGAAACTCACTATTTCGTCTGGTCGAGCGGGTGTGCTTTGCGGTGTAAGATGCGGTGTAAGTCTTGGGCTCCAGATAATGCGAAGTTTCGTTGACAATAGACTTACTGAAACAGACGGCCATACATGCCGCCGCGCCGCTGAATAGACAACTTGGTGTAAGTTGTTGCTTCACCATGACGGGCGAGCAGGGCATCCAATACGTACCCAAGCCAGAAAGGCTCAGTGCGAGGCTTTGACGTCGTCATGGTTGTAACTTGTGTATAGCGTTCCGCACAAACACCACACTCTACTGCTACTTTCACAAATCCCATCCATCAATTCAACCGCCTTTTATTCACCTCCGTTCTCAGTCACCAACCAAGAATCCCAAGTCGGCCCCAATAGTACCCTCCGGGCTATTGCCGCAGCCCTGTCAATGCTCCACCTGATACGCCGCATCTCGGCATCCAGAAGTATTCTCCGGCCGAGGAACTCTCCATCGGCGCATCACCACGTTCTCAAACGTCATCACTCCCCAGACCAAAAACAGTTTGCCCAACCAGCAGCCAGGCGCATGTTCCCTCCGAGGTGTTAAAAAAAACAATGGGCAGACTCTCCCCGCCGACAAACTCACGACAAGCACGCCCCAGAAACATGGCCAAGCTATCAAACTCGTTAAAGGCCCTCATCAACGCGCCGTTTGCGCGGCCGGGCCCAACGCCCGCGCCGGCAGCCATGAGAGACGTGCTCGGCAGCATCGCCAGCGACGCAGCGCAAAAGAAGATTGGCACTCGGCCCTGGCTGGCCGTCTCCGTGCGTCATCCTTCAACCAACACACGGGAGCAAGACTGACTTGACAGCTAACGCCGGGGAAAACCACAGACGGCCGCCACCATGACGCTCAACTCGCCCGACTCCCTGCCCATGCTGCACGCCATCGCCTCGTCGCAACGGGGCCAGAGCCCGGTCCAGACGGCAGAGTTCATGCGCGAAGTCGGCCTCAAGTGCATCAGCTTCAACGGCATCCCCCGCACAATCAACTGCCTCAACGCATTCCACGCGTCGCTCCCCAAGAGCGTCGCCTCGCAGCTGTCGTCGTCGTCGTCGCGGGCGCCGACGCCCTCCAGCCTGGGGGACGTGTCCGCGCGCGGCCGCCGGCTGTGGGACTCGATATACGCCCCGTTTGAGAAGAAGCTCGTCGACAAGCTGGCGCAGTCGCACCCGGACCTGCCGGTGCATATCCTCAACAGCCACTACGGCCCGCTGCTGTCGGACCCCGTGGAGAGGAACGGGCTGGCGAGCACGGGGCGCGTGTTGACGAGCGTCGTCGCCGTTGCGTGCTTGAGGGCGCAGACGGGCGTCGGCCCGCAGGTCCTGTCGCACGTGTTTGGGCTGAGGAAGGCGTGGGAGGACGGGAGCTGGCGCGAGGAGGGCGGCGAGAGCGAAGACGTGGTGGCGTGGCTGGTGGGCGATGAAGGCCTGGAGTGGATTTTGAGCACCGTCGATCGGATCGCCGAGGTTTTGGGGTCCAACTTTGCGCCTGCGAAGGCGGCCAAGTTGTAGGGGAGGATTTGTCTGTGGCATGGTGGATTTTTGGTTTGCTGCATCGATAGACAATAGACCCCTTGTTCATGGGGGAGCGTGTTGATCGCTTTTGATCGTGTACATACATACGTGCAAGTGCAAGTGGTGCGGGCAAGTTGATACACCCCAGGGAACACTATACATATAAAGCAAGCTCTACTTGACCATACCATGGATGAGGTGTACGAGTTTATACGATGCAAATGGTATATTATTCAGCGACAAAGCTCGCCACAGGAAAATGGCAACAAAGCAATCCAAGTCTATCTAATCCAATGGTATATCTTTTTCGCTCACGCCATCGTCTTCACGCTCTCGGACACGGCAAACTTGGCATCCGTCTTGCTTCGCACCTCTTCAATGTCGACGCCCGGCGCCAGCTCCGTCAGGGTCAAGCCGCCATTGTTACGATCGACCTGGAACACGCACTAGTATAGTCAGAAGCCGTCCGTGTATAAACGCATCCCCTTTCACGGCACTTACGAGATCGGTAATGATGGTGCTCACAACCCTGGCACCAGTCAACGGCAGGTCGCACTGCTGCACAATCTTGGAGGTGCCGTTCTTGGCTACGTGCTCGGTGGCGACGACAATCTTGGTCTTGTCGGGGTTGGCGACGAGATCCATGGCGCCGCCCATGCCCTTGAAGACCTTGCCTGGGATCATAAAGTTGGCGAGGTCGCCGTCTGCGCTGACCTGAAGGGCCTGCATGTACACACTCACACGTCAGTTTTTTTCATGAAAACGAATGACTGTCACACGTTCGGCGGCGGACGCACCCCAAGAATAGAAACATCCACATGGCCGCCGCGAATCATGCCAAACGACTCGGACGAATCAAAGACGGCCGCGCCGGGAACCAGCGTGACCGTCTCTTTACCGGCATTGACGATGTCCGGGTCGACCTGATCCTTGGTCGGGTATGGGCCCATGCCAAGGATTCCGTTCTCAGATTGGATCCAGACCGTTCGACCCTCTGGGATGAAGGTGGCCGCCAGGGTAGGGATACCTGCCACGTATGTCAGTTTTGGGAGCATTTTGCCAAGAAATGCAGGCGGTTGACGTACCGACGCCCAGGTTCACGTAGTAGCCCTGCTTCAACTCCTCGGACGCTCGCTTGCCAATGCGGTTTCGTCGCTCCTGCGCGGCATTCTTGGGCGAGCCGTCCTTTGCGGCGGCGTCGGCCTCGGGGTCGCGCAGCTTGAGGATTTCAATCTTCTTCTCGGCAGTGGCGGGCACGACGCGGTCGACAAAGATGCCCGGCAAGTCGACGTCGTTGGGGTCGATGTCGCCGATTTCAACAATGTGGTCGGCCTCGACAATGGTGACCTTGGCTGCCTTGGCCATCAGCGGCCCAAACGCCTTTGTGGTATATCTACAACAGTCAGTAAAAGATTGCAGCACCGGCGGGGAGACATGCATACCTAAAGACACAATTGCCCGCCTTGTCGACTTTCCAGGCTCGCAGAATGGCAACGTCGCCCGTGAGCGCAGTCTCCAGCAGGAATGATCGCCCATTGAACTCTCGGGTCTCGCGGCGCTTGCCCTTTTCAAGTGCCTTTCCAGAGGCGTCGAGTCTGATTGGGATCTCGCCTTCTTGGAGCAGTGTGTCTGCAAAGAGAGAGAAAAGTTAGAGCCTCGTCTATTGTTGTTCATGGTGTCCACGTACGGGCTCCAGTTGGGGTATAAAAAGCCGGAATGCCTGCGCCTCCGGCTCGCAATCTTTCAGCAAGAGTTCCTTGGGGGCACAACTCAATGGCCAGCTCGCCGCTGAGGTATTTCCTCTCCAATGCCTTGTTGTTTCCAAGATAGGACAAAATGAGGTTATCCACCTGTCCGGCCTTGGAGAGTGTTGACAAGCCACCCTGGCCTTCTATGCCGGCATTGTTGGATACCGCGGTGAGTGAGTGCAGTGATTCAACTCCACGGCGGTTGAGAGCTTGAATTATCGTGTCTGGTGTAAAAAAAGGGGTCAGCTATAATGCATTCCATCAAACCGGTGGGAATGAGACGCACCGGCGACTCCGCATAGTCCGAAGCCAGAGCTGAGAATCGTAGAACCACTCTTGACGTCTGAAACAGCTTCGTCCGCATCCTTATACACCTTGGAGTATTTTTGCTGCGACTGTGAGAATCGGACCGTTGTTGTGATAAAAGTGCGTCTCCCAAAGCTCGTCTTGGATCGCAGTATCCGCGCGGTGACGGTCCACGCTGGTCTGGGAGCCATGTTGGGCTTCAAAGTTATCATGGTGAGAGATGGGCAAAGCTACGTCGGCAGGCGCACGAGAAATAAAATAAAGAGAAAGAATTCCATGTTTCGGTTTTATGGAAGAGGGATAACCGGACTTCCGAGCACTGACTGGGTCGCAGCTCCCAATGGATGAAGTCACTATCATGAGAGCTCCATCACCAATAAGGGCCGATTTCAATAGGGACGGCCGCGGATTCGTCGGCTCGCATAATCTGTCTCCTGGCCAAGCTTTTGCGGCTCCTCCGTGGGCTCCTCTCGTCTCCATCCGTTGACAAGCCCCCATCTTGAAGATCAATGCACGTCTCGGCCGCAAAAAGTAGCCCCGAGGACCCTCTACGGACCACCGGGTGGGTCGGCGTCCAAATCAACCGCCGGGCCGAAACGCACCAGACAGATTCAACGCTGCGCCGTCCAGCTCGCATCGTCATTGCCAGACGTCACACTTGACCCCGGCCCAACAGCGAAGAAGGGGGAGTGATGTCAATAGCCGTTATTGTATTACAAACATCGCATGGCTTCGACCGCGAGGCTAATTCTGCACCCCGCAACTCCGCTTCCCCAAGATTGAGTCACTAGTGGCTGAACCATGATTCCATGGGTTGGGTTCGGTTCAATGTTTATATTCAGCCTGGGTTCCTGGGGAATCTGAGTCTGGCGCAGGCAGAGTTACATTCCGTCGAGGTTGTAATTGCCTTTGTCTAATACGACGACAGCGTTTTCACATACACTCCAAATCTGGCCTTGACATGGACGGCAAAGCCGAGCACGAAGAGTGCGGCACGCCGCCGTTGCAAACCAATGACAACGACATGGTAACTAAACGGGTATTACTAAAACTGGACTGTCGGTAGGTCGCTATTGTTGTCCTTGTGCAACAGACACCCTTTTGCTCAGTGCTCACGATATCGTCCTGTCCAGAGTGCTGCCTATTCTTGCCCTGTTGTTCCTCTGCTCGTTCCTGGACCGCACAAACGTCGGAAACGCCAGGATTCTCGGACTAGAAGATGACCTTGGCCTGACCGACTCGCAATACACGACTGGACTGGCCGTCTTCTACGCGACCTATGTAGCCAGGTGAGCCGGCGGCCGATGTTTGCCCCCCGAGTCTTGGCAATGGCACCTAACAATGCAAACAATAGCGAACTGCCAAGCAACCTGCTCCTCAAAAAGGTTTCCCCCAAGGTCCTCCTGCCCTGCTTGACAGTCGTGTGGGGCATCATCACCATGTGCCTTGGCTTCGTCCGTGGCTTCACCAGCTTCTGGGTTGTCCGCGCTCTGCTTGGGGTGGCCGAGGGCGGCCTGCTGCCCGGCATGGTGCTGTACCTGTCCAGTCTGTACACCCGCGGAGAACTCGCCTTGAGAATTGGCATCTTTTACTCTGCCGCCTCCCTGTCTGGCGCCTTTGGAGGTTTGTGTTCCGGTGGTGGACTC